GCAGAAATAAACGGCGGAATCCTCGTCCCTGAGGCTGCTCATGGCCAGCGTCACCGAGCTCTGCCCGTTGTCCCTCGAGATCCTGAACCGGCCCCGCACCGAATCGGCGTAGCCGGTGCCGCCACCGCTGTTGACACTCGCGACCCACTCCAGCGTCTGCCCCGGCCTTTGGCGAATCCACAACATTCCAAAACTCCCAAATGTGAAATCCGAGCCTCGGCAGAGGAGGCGCAGGGACCCGCCGGGGGGCTGGAGGTCCCCCCCGGACTCCAGCAGGGTCACGGCCGCTCCCCCATCCCCAAACCTTCACCGGTTTTGCCCCAAACTCCCCTGATTTGGTCCCAAATCCCCACCAGAGGTTTCCAGTCCCCTACAGCGCCTCAGACCCTGCAATTAACCCAAATCCACTCATTAATTAATCGGACAGAGCCAATCCGTTGATTGCCCAATTAACTCCTGGTTAACAACCCCCGGGACCCCCCAGGACCCCGACCCCGGCACATCCCGGCCGTGGCCTCGAGCTCCGTCCTGTCCTGGCCCTGCCCGGTGAGCCCCGCCCTCCTCATTTACATACCCTCAACCACTCATTACCATCTCATTAATATTCATCTCCCCTCGTTCCTGCAGGGCTCCGGGTGGCCGTGACCCTGCTGGAGTCCGGGGGGGACCTCCAGCCCCCCGGCGGGTCCCTGACGTTGCTCTGCCGAGGATCTGGGTTCAGTTTCGGGAATTTTGGGATGGGCTGGATCCGCCAGAGACCCGGGCAGGGGCTGGAATACGTCGCGGCTATCACTAACAATGGTGGCTGGACCGGTTACGCGTCGTCAGTCAAGGGCCGGTTCACGATCTCGAGGGACAACGGGCAGAGCTCGGTGACGCTGGCCATGAGCAGCCTCAGGGACGAGGATTCCGCCGTTTATTTCTGCGCCAAATCTTTTAATGCTGGTGCTGCTAATGGTGCTGCTTATGGTGACGGTGCCCGTGCTGTCCCCAGCCCCATCTCCCTGTCCCCCTTCCCCAATCCCAGACCCGTCCCCAATCCCAGACCCTTCCCCAATCCCAGCCCCGTCCCCAATCCCAGCCCATCCCCAATCCCAGACCCTTCCCCAATCCCAGACCCTTCCCCAATCCCAGACCCTTCCCCAATCCCAATCCCAGCCCAGCCCTTCCCCATCCATCCCAGCCTGGCTCCGGCCCGGCCCCAGTTCTGCCCCGCCCGGCCCAAACCACAACTCCTGACCCCAAATCTCCACTTTGCTCCCCAAAACGCTGCCCTGGAGGTCGGGCTTTGGGGCCGGGCCCGGCTCAGGAGCCAAAACGGCCCCGAGTGGGTCCGGGGCTGAGGTTTGGGGCCAGGAGCTGCGAATTTGGGGCAGAGGCCGGGCAGGGCTGGGGCACGGGGGCAGGAACGGGGGAACGGATGGGGTTTGGGGATGGGGGACCAGAAGGTGGGGTGGGACCAGCAGTGCCACCTCTAATATAACCAGCAGCATTACAACAACCAGAACCAGCACGTTTGGCACAGAAATAAACGGCGGAATCCTCGTCCCTGAGGCTGCTCATGGCCAGCGTCACCGAGCTCTGCCCGTTGTCCCTCGAGATCCTGAACCGGCCCTGCACTGACGGCGCGTAGTAGGTGCTACCACCACCACTGCTGATCCCTGCGATGTATTCCAGACCCTGCCCGGGTCTCTGGCGGACCCACATCATCCCGTAACTCCCGAAACTGAACCCGGATCCGCGGCAGAGCAACGTCAGGGACCCGCCGGGGGGCTGGAGGTCCCCCCCGGACTCCAGCAGGGTCACGGCCGCCCGGAGCCCTGCGGGAACCAGGGGAGATGGGGATGAGGCGCAGGATCCGCACTGGAGGAGGAGGAGGAGGAGGGTTGGGAGGTGCTGAGGTCCCAGTTTGGGGCCCAGACTCCGGATTTCGGGACAAGAACCAAGATTCGGGCTCTGCCTGCGCTGCCGTGGGTTTTGGCTCTCACGTTTCCCGTTTCTCCCCCGCCCTGCGGGGCGGCTCTGAACTCCACGCCGAGGCCGGCGAGTTCCCCTCAGCCTCGGCTCAGACCCAACGATCCCGGACCAGCCCCCGAAACTGGGACAGAGCCGCAGATTTGGGCCAAAACTTCCAAAAAAGGGCGAATTGAGGAGAGCCGCGGGGGAGGATGGGAGTGCCTCAGCTGGAGCTGCGGTTGGACAATGAGCCCCAAAATGGAAATGGAGCCGGCGCTGCCCCAGCCCCTCGCAGCCGCTCTCCCCAGCTCCCCTCGGTTCCCTCCGGTGTCCCCGGGCCCTGCAGAGCCCTGGAGCAGCTCTGGTCCCGGCAGGAACCGGCACGGCCCCGGTGGGGATGGACGGTCCAGGGCTGGGCTGGGCTTTGGGGAAGGGTGAGAACCTGCCTTGACTCGTTTGTTCATCAAAAACATGAAATTAGGATAAAAGGGTTGGGGGGTCGGGTTGTGGGATTTGCAGGCTTGGGCAAGGCTGGGAACCGCAAACACAGATTGTGGAAGATCTTGCAGGAGTGGCTGGAACTGATAACGGCAGTGGAAGGAGATCCATCACCTCCAGTTGTGAAACCAATCCCTGCTGGAACTGATAACGGCAGTGGAAGGAGATCCATCACCTCCACTTGTGCTGGATAAAGAGGAACCGAAGAGAAGAAAGGTTGTCAGCTTTTGGCGGAACACATTCCCCAGCTGCACCCAGCGCTGTTTGCTTGCTCTCGCTTGCTGGAATTGATAAAATTATTAATTGATCTTAAAAGGCCAAATCAAATTATTAACCTCAATTTCTAACGGAAAGGTCTGGGATTTGGGGACAGGGGGACAAGGAGATGGGGCTGGAGACAGCACGGGAACCTTCAACATAATTAGCACCAGCAATGCCACAACAACTGGAAGCAGTTTTGGCACAGAAATAAATGGCGGAATCCTCGTCCCTGAGGCTGCTCATGGCCAGCGTCACCGAGCTCTGCCCGTTGTCCCTCGAGATCCTGAACCGGCCCTTGACTGACGACGCGTATCTGGTGGTGCCACCGTTGCTGATACTTGCAACGTATTCCAGCCCCTGCCCGGGTCTCTGTCGGACCCATTCCATTTCGTAATTCCCAAAATCGAACCCGGATCCTCGGCAGAGCAACGTCAGGGACCCGCCGGGGGGCTGGAGGTCCCCCCCGGACTCCAGCAGGGTCACGGCCGCCCG